TGGAGGACTTGTTTAGGCCTATTAGCAAGAATTTTAGCTATGATTTTGTACACAGTAGTACACAAACTAATAGGCCTATAATGCTTAAGAGAAGTGGGATTCATGACTTTGGGAATGAGAGAGATAACTGTATGGTTAACAAACTTGATGAGATGGCCAGTGTGAAAGAAAGTTTGAATGGCATTAATCAGATCAACCTTTGTGATGTTCCAAAATTCTTGAAAAAAGATAGGAGGCATCCCATCAATTTCAGGAGCTTTATATGGATTCATAGAGAAGAAAGCAGATTTGATCTCCTTCGCATTAATAGGTTTTGTTAGGTTGTCATTCAGACTCTCTAATATAGTGTGAGGTATCCCATCCAGAATGTCCTCCATGTCTCCTGCTTCTGTCGTTTTGAACAGATCCTTATAGTAATTAGCAATCTCAGCACTTAACTCCTCTTCATTTTGTGTCCAGGTTCCATTCTCTCTCTGAATATCAGCTATCCTATTCCTTCTCCTCCTTCCCTGGACACTAGCATGAAAGAACTTAGTATTCCTGTCCCCCTCCTTTAGCCACGGCAATCTAGCTCTTTGACTCCAGTACACCTCCTCCTCAGTGTATACTTCCCTTAACCTACTCTTCAGGATTTTCCTTTGGCTCCTCTTGTCTGCTGAATCACCCTCCTTCAACTCCTGTAATTGTCTCTTAATCCTCCCAATGTTAACCTTAGAGTTACCTTGTAACTTATTCTTCCATTTCAGGAGTGCAATCCTGCATCTATTTACCTTCTGTGTTACTTTGAACATCCTTGTACCTTCATCAGCTTGTTTCCAGGTTTGTTCCACTACATCAGTTATTTCCCTATTTTGAAGCCACCGTTTATCAAAGAAGAACCTTCTTTTCCTTCTATCCTGTCCAGGTTTGGTATCAAAAATTAGTATACTGTGATCTGAAGTAAAAGAGTCCACATGTTTGCAGCTTATCTTATCAAAAGTTTGATTCCAAGTATAGCTACACAGACCTCTATCCAATCTTTGTTTAATCTCTCCATCTCCTTCCCAGTTGTTGCACCAAGTCCAAGGGTGACCTTCAAAGCCTACATCCATCAATTGGTTCTCATTGATAAAATCCTTAAAGTCCTTAAAACTCCCTTCTTCTCTCCGGTTACCACCCCACTTATCATTATTCGCCACAATGTCATTAAAGTCACCTGCTAATAACCATCTGTCTCCCCAGAGCCTTTTCCTAGCTTGAATCACTTTCCACTGCCGTTTCCTAATTTGGTCATCACAGCTAGCATAGACCCCTATAAACCACCATTCACTCCTACTCTCCTGATCCTCTATCTGGGCTTCAATAGTGAAAGCTGTCCTTAACACTTGTTTGATCCTAACCTCCTCTTTCCACATAAGAGCCATACCACCTGCCTTATTCATGGCTTCCACTATAACTACTTCATCAAACTTCAGAATGTTCTTCACATTGTCCATGTATTTACTTCTATTTTTAGTTTCACATAAAACCACCATACTCGGAGAGGAGAGGTTGTTCACCTCTCTCAGCTGGGGAATTGTCAAGGGGCTCCCCACTCCTTGACAATTCCGTACCAGAACCCTCATTTGTCCATTGGGGTCCATCTCGGGTTGGACCCTTCCCCCACAGTCTCCTTGCCAGTAGAATCACCATTCGACTCTATTTTATTCCTTTTCCCAATTTGCATGCTATCCTCATCAATTTCCATGTCCATTTCCCCCAGAGCCAGTTTCCTCTTCCCTGGCTTCCTATCTCTAGTAGTATTGGTATTGACTTCTTTTAAAGGCTGTCTTTATTTCCTAGGAGACCTTAAGGCCCTCAAGTTCCTTCTATTCTGTTCGCCTAAAGCCTCTTCCAATTTGGTACCCACTTTAACTCCCATGTTCACCAATTCCATTTCTGTATCCCCTTCTTCCAAATTCTCAGTCCTGGGAAGGTGAACCGTCACTTGTCCTATTCCTACTTCCAACATCTGAACTTCTGGGCTAACCCCTTCCCTCCCTTTTTCCTTTATTTGCATACCTTCCACTATGCTTCTATCTGGCTCTACCAGTGCCTCCTTTGTAATCCTAAGGTCCTCTAGGTGCTGATCTTGTAGTATGTTACCCACTACCCTATCAGTCAATGCTGTCTCCTTACTATGGTGTGAGCTCATATCTTCACCATTTCTTGTCTCTTGTACTTCCTGGTTCTCACCTCCTTTAGCCACATTTGTAAACTCATTCCCAGGCTTTTTGGTGCTCCCAATACCCTTTGGTATCTGGTTTTCCTGTTTTCCATCTTGTGCAACAGAGCTCTCTTTCTCCTTCCATTCCCCTTCCTGAAATCTCCAATGATGCCTTTGAGGGTTGTACACCGTACCATTCATTTTTTCTGTGGTGAACTCCTCAAGTTACCGGCCCTCAACCATGGACCATATTGATTGTCCTTCTTCCCCATGCCAAAAGAGGTTTGCTTATTGCATGTTCCTTCACTATGGCCTATAATTCCACAGTTGTAGCAGAAATCTGAGCATCTCTCGTATTTAAAGCTAGCCCAGTTAGTTGCTTCTCCAACTTTGACAATGGTACCTTTCAATAGGGGTTGGCAAATATTAGCAACAACTAGGAGTTTCAGGTGTCTCCCTTCTTTACCCCCTGTCTGGGGGACTATCACCTTTCTTACCTGGTGAAAAATTGAACCGATCTTCTTCCTTGCCTCTTTCAACATCCAATGAACAGGCAAGTTCCAAACTTGGAGCCATAGAGGTGCTAGGCAGAATGCCTTTTCACCCTCTTCTACTCCTTCATACCATTCATTCAGCACCAGAATTTGGTTGCCCATTATCCAAGGTCCTCCACTCAAAATCCTCTCCGTCCCTCTCAGCTGGGATAATAAACTGGAACATGTTCGGTCCAAGTTCCACCACTCTCAATTCTCTAGGGTAACTCCATGCTGCTGTCACAAAGTTTTTGACCGCCATATAGTTTGAGACTTTCTCCCCCATAACTTTTCCTATCAGACTTACTTTGCATTCACTTAACCGTCCCACTATCTCCTCAGTACCCAGGCTAGTTGCTTGGAGTTCTACACTCGAGAGGTCAAAATTTTGCATAATTTCAGCCAGATCACCCGCCATAACCTTAAACAAACTAATGATACCCACACTATAAACCAGAGTCTAGATGCACCCAGCACCTGAACAAGAAGGAGACATACTACTCTACTGCTCTAGGTGCAAGCCACCTAGATGGAAATAAGGTAAAAGGAAAAGAGAAAAGAGAAAAAAATAGGCAAGACTCAAACTAGAGCCAGGTCAAGACAGTTTATGACCAATAAATTACTTGCTGCAGCTTAATAGGGTTTCCAGGTGGTTTGGATGCTGTGAATCTGATCTCGAGCTTCGTCAGAATCTTGATTTCTGCTGCGCTTGTGTACTTTTCTTAAAAGGCCTCTGCTATGCTGTTACCATGGAAATTTACTTCTCTGGAACCTTGCGTGTAAGAGCTTTTCCGTAATGTAATTGTTTCTAGAAGATGTTATGATTCCGACGAGATTTTGCTTTCTGGGCAGTTTAATGCTGCTCGGAAAGTCAAGGATGTTGTGGAGTGAAAAACACCAATCAGGTGCTTTGGAGTGAGAGTGTTTGAAAATTCTAAGTTCAAAAGTTAGACTTTTGGTTTGTCTCGACTTCCACCACGGAAAGAGAGAGCTCTCTTCTAGAGAGATAAGTTGCCCCTACTAGAGAGAGGATCAACTAACATAGGCTTCTTCATCAGTAGCTGAAATTATTGAAGACTGGTTACCTTTATCACTAGTCAATACTCACTAATCGCACGACCCAAAGCTAGCTGAAAATGGCTACCTTTATCACTACTCACTACTCACTAATTGCACGACCCAAAGCTAACTGAAAATGAAAAGGCACTTTTCCTTTTTAAAATTAAAGCAAGCATCACAGCTTCAACATTAGTAAAGAGGCCCTCTATATATATGTTGGCTTTTGTAGATACGGGATGCTCGTAGTAGATTCAGGCTGTACCAACACCCAACCGAGAGAGGACAATGTTTAGAAACAACAGGTTGGAAACCAAGAGAATTGTTTGCATTTTCTTAATGACCTAATCTTTTTTTTTTTCCTTCCAACCCCAAACATAACGGCCAATATAATAACGAGAATATATAGCTAAAGCAACTACTGCCTCCATCTCATTTTATATGTCATGATTTCTCCTTTGATTTGTACCAAAATATTTGTCATGATTTAAAATAGAAATAAATAAAATCCAACTTTTCTATTACACCCTTAATACAAGTCTAGGTAGTTGTGCCTTTTATAAAATTCAAAACTCAACTCATAAAATTTTAAAGTTAATTAGAGGACAAAAATGAAAAGACACTTTTTAGTAGCTTATGTGTCTTAATCAAAATTCATTTTTCTTAAACTATATGCAAAATTGATCATTATATAGGACAGAAAATATACAATTTTCAGCCGTTCTTTTTATCTTTCTAGTATATGTTACCTAGCGCAACTCTCCCACAAATCCTTGTACCTGTCCAAGACGGCTCAGAAACCATTGCACTCCCCTAACGCTAGGAGTGTCAATTGAAATTTTTTTTTTAGTGGATTTTAACAAGCCAAAACAAATTATATGAATTTTGAGTTTCAAAGTTTCAGGTTCCGTACTCGCATTAAAAGGCTCAAATCAACTTATACTATTATATGAATTTCAAACTGAAACAGAATTTGACCCAAACTCATAATTAAATACATAATCATATATAATATATATTATAATTATGAATTAATACAAATTCATATATATAAAGTAATAACAGTTTATGCCATAATGTTTATAACTCTGAATTCTAGACATTATTATAGTCCAGCCCATTTCATGTCATGGTCAACTTGCACACTTTTAAGAAAAGTAAATTTTAATTAAGACACATAAACATTAAAAAGACCAGCATTTTAAGACACAAAACAATTAAATCTTAGGTTCAGTGAGCTTCTTTAAACCAAACGGACCAATCTCAAATTGGCCCAATTGCTTTAACAGTCCCAACTAGGTGTGTACATTTACTCCAATACACACGCACACGTCCTATCAGCATCGGAGGATTGGAGAATAAGGTAAGTGCACTAAACTAAAGGAGAAATCTCGCTTAGAGATCTGTTACAATCCCACAGATCATATGTTCCCTAACTAGAGAAAGAGATGAAAGGGAGGGAGGGAAAAGAGGGTTTTTTTTTTTTTTCGGGTGGGGGGAGGGGAGGGGAAACAGGTGATGTTATGTAAAACACGCGGATACAGCACTCGTGAACCTCAGACAGAAGCAGAAGAAAACTAACTGCATAGCCATTTAAGCATACCGAATGAAGTTTCAATAAGAACCAAGTTCAAATAATAATACAAATCTCTGCTTTGACCACAGCCTCCACCTTTTTCAACCACAGGCCACATTTAGAAGTGCACAAACAATATGCTTGATCTTCACTTCTTATTCTTGCTCTCCTCTCCCTCTCTCTCCCTCTTCTTGTACAATCTCTCCAGGACACGCTTTGCCTCACAATTTGGGAAGTTTGTGAGATCATAATAATGTGGCGCTATGTCTATCAACCTAAGACGAGACCAGCAAAACAGAAACAAACTATAAGTAACATAAACAAAGCTTCTCCATTTTCTATCAGACAAATGAGACAAAAACAAAAGATCAATGAAACCACAACCACAAAAATATAGTTAGATAAATAATGTCATAATCAGGCAAAGAGGTTTCTTTAAAAGATATCACACCAAAAACCAATATTCGAGGAACAACAGCAAAACTAAGGTCATTATTGCAAACTAACTATATCATAAATATAGTTATAGAATGAGCCAACATTTGCTGGTAGTTACTGAAAACTGAGAGAGACCACTGAATCCTTAGTAGACAGCAACAAGAAATTAGTCCTTCATAAAACAAGAAATTCATATCAACATATCAAGACAAGATTCAAAGCCAGCAGGAAAAATGGGAAAAAGACAATAGGTGAACTACAAACCATATAGTTCAAATATTAGAGAAACTTTATGCAATAACATTAATCTTCAAGGGGAGTAACTAAATTACTTCCGTTCATCAACGCTTACAACCACAACACATCAAACAAAATCTGTGGCCAATTCATGTACAAGGTTAAAAGTAGAAAATTGTACCACCAAAAAAGGCGCATCAAATGTCAAACATTTACGGGCAGTATCAGGTAGTGTCAAAGTTACCAAGATATGACATTCCTGTACTTGAGAAAAAAAAAGACTACAAATGGCAAGCGACTAAATGAAGATCCATGTATAAAAAAAATAAAATAAAAAGAATAATAAGGAAGATCAAACACCAAAGCACAAACACTTGGGAAGTCCCAATCACGTTTTAAATGTATCTGAAAACTAGTTAAAATGCAACTTTCAGTACGCATTACACTCGGAATCGCTGCCCAAGTAGGGAAATATATGCCAAGGAGTTAAAATGCAACTTTCAGCTATTAGGGAAAAGAACTAGGCATAAAGTACCACGATTCTTATTTCACGAAATCACAGATGCTTCCTCTTTTCTGAAAATACATAAAGTACCACATTTTAAATGTATCTGAAAACTAGTTAAAATGCAACTTTCAGTACGCATTACACTGGGAATCCCTGCCCAAGTAGGGAAATACATGCCGAGGAGTTAAAATGCAACTTTCAGCTATTAGGGAAAAGAACTAGGCATGAAGTACCACAATTCTTATTTCATGAAATCACAGATGCTTCCTCTTTTCTGCTATCTTATGAGTACTTCAGTATATGCATATATTCTATACATTTACTGACACTCTTGTAGATTAAATCAGAAGGTGACTAGTAATTAAACATTCTGATTGGATGCTAACAATGAAACCCCCCCCCTTTTCTCTCTCCAAAAAAACCCCAAAAAAAGAAAAGGAAAAAAAGAGAGTACCTAGCAGATATGCATACATTAACTAGTCGCATTAAAACCAAAATACAGCTTCAAGATGGATTGACGCAATTATTTACACTCTCTCAAAATTAAAATGCAAATGGCAAAAGATACACACAACAATTAACAGAAAGAATGAAAGATCTACTTAGTAACAATTCTCTCTAGAAAACTGATATTCCGAGAAATGTCCATCAGCAATCATTATTAGTATATTAATGGTGAGATAAGGAAAGAGATATATGAATGGTGAGATAAGGAAAGAGGTTTATTCTCATAATTTCTACTGTCTATAAAAATGATTTCAACTAATAAAATTTCTGTTTTATGATCATGCATGCAAGCTAAGTGCAACAGGATACTTGGCTCCTAACGAACAGAGTTTTTGTTTTCCACAGATCACGATATCAAACCAAGCAATAGTAGTTAAAAAGAGCCAATTCAGAACAAATGAAACTAAATTTGACTCACAAAAAGTTTCAAATTAGAATTCAGGACAAACCTAGTCATCCTACAAAGTGAGACTCATACAGAGAAAGAACTCCTAATGATCTTCTAAACAACTATAATCCAGCATTCTAAACCACACCTACATGCCAACACGGGAAAAAGGGTAAAGGATCGCAGAAGATTGCACCAACAGAAAAAAATAAATAAATAAGAGACACCATAAGTTACAGCAAATTAGCAACAGGTATACAAGCCACAAAGGTATGTAAAGATTGATTCACCAAAAACCTATTCAACATACATTGTAAAAAGCAGGACTTGTACAAAGAAACCTTGCTAAATATCTTATTGAGGGGTAATCACACCACTTGAAACTAGATGCTAATTGAGAAAAGAGCAGAAAAGATGAGAAAACTAACCACTCCCCACGAACATCAGTTACTGTGCGAATGAAATTCCTGCTGGTCAAAACATACTCGTTATAAATAACCCACTCTGGTTTATGGTCCAAGCAATTCGAAGGGTGCAAATGAACCACCTGCCAAAAAAAAATTGTTGATTTTACAATATATACCATAACATGGACCATTCTGAATCCTTCTAAACTTAAGATTCTAGGCTCACAACTTTTTCCCCCTTATTTTGTGTTTTGCACTTACTTGATTGTCCTTAACAGTCAAGTAATGCCCAGAACGCTCCAAGTGAGCCACCTGCATGAAATAGCCAGCCAACATGGCTTTTCTGATATTGACATAGTAGTCACGGCTGTTGAAGTCTGTGCTGCATAACTTGAGGCCGAATCTAACCATGATCCGAGATAGTTGCTGCCTTACATTATCTGCAGCTTTAAGTGCACGGTGATTGACAAAGTTTTCATAACACCATTGTGGATCCTCCTCTGATATACAGTCAACAACAAACGAAAAAAATTAGTTATCATCAGCATGATGAATTTCTTTCACAACACAATGGAAGTTAAAAAAAAAAAAAAACTGAAGAGGATGTGTACTCACTATTCTGCTTGTACGCATGGTATACATTCAACAGCGTCAGATGATCCCCATCAATGTGACCAAAACGAGCTTTTGCTTCATCTGCAGCTTTTTGAGCCTCCCTAGGCCGGACAAAGCAATTTGGTACTAGAGAAATAATTGGTTATCACAGAGGAGGCCCACGGTAGGTCAGCAGATGCATAGAGGCGAGACGACACCATTTGCTTGATAACAGAATACTGAGAAACTGCAACTATCTACATCAGCAATTACTTAGAAACTCTATGGTGCATGCCAACCAGGGGCATGGAACCCCAGACAAGACAGTTGCTGATGACGACCTAAGCAGCCATAAACATCTAACCGCATGGCACAGTTGCACATGCAGTTAGATGCAGGATATCATATGCACAGAACTACATCCATGCACATGAGACAACAGGTGCCCATGAACTTACAACAACAGGAGCACACAAACTGGATCTATGTTTAAATAGAAACGACGACTAAACTCAGAGGGAGGAAAAAACCAAGTATTAAAGCAAACTAGAATACCTGAAAGCATAGCAGAGATGGACAGAATTTCATTCGAGCAGTTGAATTCTGGGCTGACAACAAGCATTTTAGCCATCTGCGGGTCCAGGGGGAATTCACTCATAATTTCACCTAGTTTGGTCATATTACCATCATCATCCAAGGCACCCAAATAATTTAACACCTCCAATGCTCTCATTAATGTCTCAGGGGCAGGAGGATCCATGAAATCAAAATGGACTAAGTCATCTATGCCAAGCTTCTTCAATGTAAGAACAGTATTTGCCAAATTTGATCGTAATATTTCCGGATACGTCTGTGGCTGGAGGTCATTTTGAAAACTTTTCTCAGTATAGAGCCTAAAACATTTTCCTGGCTGTGTTCGTCCAGCACGTCCAGATCTTTGGTGAGCACTTGCCTTCGATATTGGAGAAACCAATAAAGACTCGACACGAACTCTAGGATTATATACTTTTTGCTTGGAAAAACCTGGGTCTATAACATAAACTATGCCATCTATGGTCAAAGATGTTTCAGCAATATTTGTAGAGACAACAATCTTCCTTCCAGCAGGACCACCTTCCACCAATGGAGCCGGAGCAGGTTCAAAAATTTTTTGTTGCATGGCAGGAGGAAGTGTAGAATACAGAGGCACTACTTTGACAGGCCCTACCTGATCTCCCATATTGCCAATTTCCTTGGTTATCTTACGACATGCATCCTCAATCTCTTCTTCTCCAGTGAGAAAAACAAGGATGTCACCAGGAGGTTCACACATATGTATCTGCACCACAGTTCGTATGCCAGCTTCAAGGTAATCCCTTTCCGGTTCTTGAGTGTAGAAAATCTCTACTGGATGAAGCCTTCCAGGAACTTTCATGAGAGGTGCAGCATAGAAATAGCCTTGGAACTTTTCAGCTTCAAGGGTGGCACTCATAACTACTAACTTCAGATCAGGCCGGTTTTTCAGCACTTCCTTAAGAAGCCCAAATAAAACATCTGTTGCAAGAGTTCTCTCATGAGCTTCATCAAGAATTATAACTTTGTATCGTTCCAACAATGGGTCCGTCATAGCTTCTCTCAAGAGCATACCATCTGTTAGATACCTGTTGAAAAAAAAAGGCTGTTAATACAAGTGTGAAACAACAAACACAATCATAAATTACATCAAAAACAGTATTGGGCCAAAGAGAAGTTTATAGAGGATAAGCTTACTTCAACACAGTTCTTGCACTACTGCAATCTTCAAAACGAATGCTATAACCCACTTCCTCCCCAATGGTCACATCCATCTCTTCAGCAACTCGACGAGAGACAGACATTGCAGCCACTCTTCTAGGTTGCGTACACCCAATCATGTATTTCCTCCGTTTATCTGCGGACTCTATTTCAACAGCCTCCAGTACAAATTGAGGAATCTATATTACAAATACAACTGTATAAACAAACTACAATTGATAAAACAAAATTTGAAAAGAAAAGCTCCAATATACACAATATATGCCTTGAAATTTTGCAAGCAACTAATAAAACCACATTTACAAGTAGATTTGCTTCTCAGAATTAAGCTACCCACAATTTATCAGGCGAAAAGCATTACTAATCTTAGCCCAAAAATTCCTTACCATTCGAATCTATGAATTCATAATTACAGAGTCCCCTAAAAAAATGGAGCAGCTTCACTGTCATTAAGTAACATTAATATCCTAATGTTTAAAAGCTCACTAAACCCTATTAAAAAAATACAGAGAGAGAAAACAACCATAGGGGACTACAAGTCACTTTTGTGCCTCTAAACACATCAACCGCTCAAAACCAGATAACAGTGGATTGTAATAAAGACACGTGAAATAAGCAGCAAATGCTCCATATCAAGACGCAAATGGACAAATTTTGAACAGAACTCAGGAGGCAGACATGCAAGAATATTATAGAGAAACAGTACATTAAAAGAATGGATCCACAGCTAATCTTAACCTACCTGAGTGGTTTTACCACTACCAGTTTCACCCACCAAAATTAGGGTTTGGTTTTCTCTCAAGGCCTTCAAGAAATCGTTTTTCTGCTGCCAAACAGGTAGAGTCTTCCTCTTCTCCAGAATCTCGTAGTATCTTGCCGAATAAGGCCGGCCATTCCAGCGATTGGTCAGCGGCATCCCGTCTCCTCCAACGCTGCCGTTAGCCTTCGCGAACTTCGACGCCGCCACAGTCGACTCGTCCACCACGTCGAACAAACTCACCTTCCTCTTCCTCTCCGTCCCCATCTAATATAATCAGTAATTACTTCTGCAAACCCTGAATCGATTTTGTTTTTATTTCTTAATTTTCCTAGGATTTTCACTTTCAGGGGAAGGGAGAAAGGGGAAAAATCTAGGGTTTGTTGGTTATGATCAGATATGTATATGGTATATGGGAGGATGGCGACAGAAATTTCCGGACTTCTTCGGGAGGTGTAATTAATAACCGACACACAGGTTTGGGATGGCTTAGGCCCAAAAGCTACGTATAAAATTTTTAGTTTTATGTTATAAATGGGCTGAATTTTTCAGCTCGGCTACTGGCTCCGTTAAGTAGCTCGGTCGGGCCTTCCGGCACCCTAATTATTTGGGAGATCTCAATACAGGTGCCTGTTACAAGAACTACCTACACCGGCCCAAAAAAGTGTAGCGATTGCGAATTTTATCCTTTATTGGATTTACAATTTTCAAATAATGGTTGATTTTAGACCTCAAACTGTGCGTGAGAGAGTCTAAAGTGATTTAATTTGGAACCAACGTCCAGTTCCACCAGTCGCAATATCATCCAAAAGTGTCAGTGAGACTCTTTATTCCAACTTTGAAAACCCTCCCCTTCCCCTTGCAAAGATTGAAGTTTTCCTTTTTCTTAAAAATAAAACCTATGAGAATTTATAGCTGAAATTGCTAACATTTACCAAAATTGAGGCGATTATAAATGTAGCAAAGGATTTACAAATCAATTAAAAAAAATGAATGAGTTACAGTGATGCTGTTGATGCAATATTTACTGTCTATAAATCAACAAGTAGAAACTTATCAATAGCATTCATGTGAAGTGGCTAGTGTGTGCAATTGAGATGATTTGTCTACAATTGACCTGATATAGGAAAAGATGCCGACATGTTTACAATCATTAAGAAACTGATAATTGGGGGCATGTCGGCCTGAATAAGTATGAAGCAAAGTATGAATCTATTTATCGGAAAGCATGCATCAAATCATGGTTCTAATAAGGACGGGCTCGGTGACCCGCGGCTTCTGCGGGGTGTCCATTATTGACTGTCTTAGGGTAATATAAGATTTATTTAATAACATAGACTTAGAGTATTTTGTATGATAATGGAGTTGGAATAGTAGATAGAAAAGTAATATATTGGATTGATTTATTTATAAATAGATATAGTAAAATTGATGTGATTTGTATTGTATTTTTTTAAAATTAATATGATCTGAAAATTTGATGGGTAATATTGATTTCAAAAAATTTTGTTTTTTTTATTTTAATTTAGTGATAAGTAAATATTATTTAAATTAATGGAATATATATTATTTTTTAAAGTTGATAGGATGAAAAATTAGGTGGAGAATTACATTAAGAGTGTTATAATTTATTGTACTTTAGGCATTGGTAGTTTATGTATTTTAGAATGATGATATTTTCATAATTTGGATAGTTAGGATGAGAGTGTGCATTGTTGCAGTGGAAAAGTCCATGGAAAGGATATAAAAGAATGAGAAGTTTGTTAAAAATTAAATGGATAATAGATATTTTTTTGGCAAATTTTGATAAAGTTTGGGTGCTGTGTGATGAGATAAATTAATAATTTGGAATAATTTGATATTATAGCTTGGTAAAATATGTGTTTATATGAGAACCCGTAATTTTCTTAATTTCTAGGTTTTATTTTATTTAAATGTCACACCTTTCCACATTTTCTTTATTCGGAATATTTTAAAAAAATAATTTAAATTATTTTTCTAGTATAAGTTAGTTCATGAGATTTTGAGAGTATATACCAGATGTGGGACCCACTAGTGCGGTAAGTTTGATAAAATTCAGCCAACTAGGTTAAGTTTTGTATACTGGGTTTAATTTATCAGGTGTTAAGAGATAATTAGAAATTACCTAGATGGATTATCATTGGAGAGACAAAAGAATAGAGTTGCATTAAAAAGGGTGACAAGTGTCACATTCCTATTCAATCTTGACTTTGACTACTATTCATTAACTTTACTAAAAATCTAATTTGGAACCAAAATCATCTTCATTAATCATCATCTTGGCTGAGCACCTTGGAGAGAAATTTCATAATTATGCATGATTTTTCTGTTTTTATATATTTAATATTGGTTGGCCATGGATGATGGCTTGGAATGGTTTAGAATAAAGCTTTGATGCGTAAATTGTAGCTATTTGCGGAAAATTTCCGCTTTGTACCGAAATTTCCAGATTAGGGTTTCAACTAACCTCTGTTCTGCCCAGTTCTGTTCAGCTAGGATAGAGACTGAATAAGCCTTAGGTTAAAACATGAAAGTTGTAGGAAATAATATTTTATAGTTTCTTGTGAATTTTCAGCCTAATCCGAGCTCTGTAATCTATAAAAAGACAGAAATACCTCCGGACTACCCTAAGTAGAGCCCGGTGGACAGAGTTGACACTTCATCCAATCTGACTGAGACTTTTCACCCTCATCCTTATTGAATTAGAATTTGGCCAAAACACAAAAGTTGTAGTGCTATGTCTTAGCTTTCCAACGGCTTTGGAAACACCTCCCTTGGACTTCGGTAGCCTGAGTTATGGTCATTTTACTATAATGCGGTTAGCTAACCTATTTGTGCGATTCTGGTTTGGTATATTGCAATTTTGACCTAGCTACACTATGAACTGGACTGAGTGGTCTTCATCAAAATTGTAGGCCTTTGTCTTAGCTTCGAAACAGTATAAATTTCACCTCAATCCGATAAGTGTAGCATCAGTTGTGTTCGTTCCGCTAAACAACGTCAAATCTGTCTTTCGTTTTTCAACCTAAACTTCATTTCCGGACATTGTCCTAGCTTGAATTTGTACTTGTACCACTTTGAGCCTATTGAACGGCTATTAAAATGAGATTATTTTGTGTGTGATTTTGGGATTGATCGAGGAAAACAATGAAGCCATAAATGGCTGAAAAATAGGTAAATACAAAAGACATGTTGCCCAAAATTTTAGGGCTACGCGATTCTTTCAAGTTGAGTTGATCTTGGTAAAGATGATGGGTTTTGGGAGTTGTTGGTAACCCTAGAACCAACTGTTATTCTTTTTGTTCAAAAGTCATATTTTATTGTTTTGTACTAGTACTTAACCTGGAAAGGCGTACGACTTGTAGTCGAGTCTCATTTATGCATTCCATTTACTGGATTTATGACTGTGGGAACCGTAATTGTTTACCTTGGTTATTCTAGGGTTTCTTGGTGATTAGAGCCCTGCCTTGGTTGAAACTTTTGACGTATCCTTGCTTTAACTGGTGAGTGCACCACTCCCCTGAGTTATTGCTAAACTGGTTTTCTGTAATTGCAAATTACTATTTGAATATCTTTCCTGACTGTTTATCTTGTATGAGACGAGAGTGTACTTTATCTCACTCGTTCTCTTGCCTGTACTGAACGAATTGGAATCTATTACTTGTACTTGTTATGTACTTGACCTTATTATTTGCACTTGTTATGAGATCGTTTGGAAGTGTGTCCAACGATCTTCCTATTAAACTGGAGTTCAACCTCATGAGGAGTTAATTAAATCGAGCCAGCAAGGAATTGGTCGAGATAATTCACAATCCATGAGTACCTGTTCTTGGGGAATCTTTGGGTATTGAGACTCTTGATTCCGGTATACTCGAGTATTACCATTCCTGTTCCTGTTTGGCGTTTGGGCCCGGTAAGGGGTATGTTTGGTGAATGGGGTTTTGGGCGTTAAAGTGGTGTTCTACTGGATTGGTTCCTTTATTTGAACGTTGACGGAGGGTCAACGAGACTGGATCAAGTATAGCAACGGGGATTTGGCTCCTAAGAGCCATCTGTATCCTTTACATTGTGATGTTCATTCATTTCTCGTATTTGAAGTGAATATGTGCCTCCAAAATGCTTTCTTATGAATTCTACTGATTTTACTGTTTATACTGTTGGTACCTCATTGAACTTTTAGCTCACCACATTCCGTTATCCCTGTTTTCCTTACAGGGAACCATCTTTTGGAACTTTAATATTTTGAGGAATGAATTGAGCTAGTTAGAAACTCTTTTGTTCTTTTGGTATAGCTCCTCGACAATTTGGAAACCCTAAATGTATCTTCATACAATGTTTCTTTTTGGATTTGTAAACTTACTAATATGTATATTTTAAAGTGTTTCTTCATGTTTATGTAACATATGTATTCGGGAATGCACATTCTTTCTTGGCAAACAAAGTTTACTTGTACTTGGTGGGATCCTGTATGGCAGCGGCCCTTCCATTTCGTTTTGATTCTTGTAATTTTATTCCGATTTTGATGGAGGTATTACTGAGTCTCGACGAGAGTTGGGCATGCGATCCGCCGAACTCTTTGGTTCGCCTTAGGGTGAGGTGGGGCTGTCACAGGTGGTATCAGAGCCTGTTTCGCGTGGTCTTTGCGCGGAGTGAGATTCGGCCAAGTGGTGAATAAGTTTGAAGGACTAAGTGTTCGTTCAAGCGTAAGTTATGAATCATAAATGTATAGGTCTTAAATCTTTCTCATGGTATCCGAGAACCATAGATACGTATGTCAGGTAGGAATTACAAATGTAGATGATTACTCTTGGGACTGGTCAGTTCGAGTGGTGAATTATCTTATTTTGGATTCTTGTGCCCAAATACGAAAAGAGATGAGAGCCTAGGTTAGAAATGATTTGGACACATTAGAAATCTGATTCTACGGAACTTTATATGATGTGTTAGGGATCACTAAGAATGATGAACCCTGCCTAAGATCTAAATTGTGGTATTCTTGTAGATTATAGATGGAACCCTAAGGGGGAGCTTTTCGTTAGTTGCTAAAGACCCCTTCACTTCCATAGGATTTCTTTTGCTTGCATCTGACTGACTGTTACTGTGTGATTCGTTTGATACAGTCGTGTTATATGTATATTTGTTTTGTTTTGAATTGATTCGGACATATTAGATATATATCCGACTGACTGATCTCGTTAGTTGTATATTGTATTCGCGCCTCGAGTCTAGATTAGTTAATCCAATGGAAGGAACTCGTAGTGGACGAGACCGGGGCTGTGGACGTAGGCAACCCTTGAACGAAAGGAGAAATCGGGAACCAATGCCTAAACCTAACCCTGAACCTGCAACGGACCCTAACATTCAAGTAGCTACCGCTATCCAACGTATGACCGACGTTTTGACTCA